GCCATTCATGGCTCCAGGTACACTCTAGGTGGTGCCCTGTTATCTGATTGCAGGTGTGGGATCTCTGCAACATGGTTTAACAAAGGGCCAAAGGCCAGAAGGCTAATAACTTTATCTAACATGGAAATAAAACCCAATTCACTGAAAATCCTTTTTAAAGAGTTTTAAATTTGGGATTCTAGAATTCTATAAATTCATGATTTAGGCAAGCAGTAAGGAGTACGCAAACACTACTTTGGAACTCATCATCTTCCACACAGTTTACTTGGCCATTTAGAAATAGTAATCTTTTAAATATCAATATCATGCTTTGTATTATAAAACTGTATGGTTAAAATTTGGAAACTGCGTTTCTAACAAAAGTATTGTCGAATTCAGTCCATCATCATGTGATTCTGATGAAACTTGGCACTGAAGTGTATTGAGGCCAACGAAAGCTTTTTTGTTGTTGTTGTCAAATAAACATACCTGACTATTGCTTTAGAACTACATGGCTACTTATTCTGGCTTGTGGGGTATTGTTTTGTTTTGTAGCCTTTGAGGGGTGGGGACAGGAGATTTCAAAAGGAACTGGACAGCTCCAACGTTGTAACCCTCGGCTTTGAGGCAACCTGAGTTATTTCGGGCTGTCCTTTCCAGAACCCTGTTTCAGTCTGAGAAGTCCTTGGAGCTGACCCCCACAGCTAGTCACAAACCCACAGCATCAAAGCAGCGGAGGCCAGGCAGGCCCTCTGGGTTTTCCAGGACATCTCTCGAGGTTTCAAAGGCTTTCTTGTTCTACCTTTCTTATCTAGCAGGGCCCAGGGCACATGCAGAACTGTAACAAGGCTTGACTTCTGCCATGGACAGAACCCTAGAGCCTTTCTGTCAGCCTTACGTGTAGCTCCCCTTCTGCTGAGTTCTTGCAGCAACATCATTGGCAAACATGGACTAAAGCACCCACTGAGTGCCAGGACTGAAGGCCCAGGTAGTGCAGTTCCTGCCTTCAAGGAGGGAATTGTCCAGACGTGGCTACTGGACCCTGCAACCCCTGACTTCCCAGAACTTTGAAGCAAGCACATGGTCTACACTAGAGCTCCACTACATCCCCAGCCCCCAGAATTCTTGTCCCTGGCTGTGGCTTGGCTTGCTTTCTCACTAGAGAGCCCCACATTCAGTAAATCTCTTCGTTTATGGCATAAATTAAACTGCTTTATGTTAACTGTAGGAGAAAGCTGTTGCCATATATGTGGGCTTGAACCATCTTTAATAATAAAATAATTTACATAGTATTCCCCAAGGCTGGCAATTACTGTCATCTTCAACTGTGAGATACAGGGTGATATGAAATTATGTCCTTGCCAGAGGCCAAAAGTCGCAACAAAAATCAGATTTCACAACTTCTCTGCCCCTCCTCCCTGCTTGTGGGGGTGTGGGATTTAGTATAAGGTGAAAGAGACCTGAGTTCAAACCCTGCTTCTGCTATTGAGCTGTGTAATCTTGACCATGTCACTAAACCTTTCTGAGCCTGTATTCTCATCTGAAGAACAGCAATATAATAGTCTGCTTTATCCTCAAAACATATTTCCAAGACCCTTAGTTGATGCCTGAAACCTTGGACAGTACTGAACCCTATACTATTTATACGCGCACACACACACACACACACACACACACCTGTGATAAAGTTTAATTTGTACAGTAGGCACAGTAAAAGACTAATAATAAAATAGAACAATTATAACAATGTAATAAAAATTATGTGACTATGGTCTCTTTCTCTCTCTCGAAATATCTTATTTTCAGACTGTGGTTGACTGTGGGTAACTGACACCCAGAAAGGAAAACCACGGATAAGAGGGGACCACTGTAGTTATCTATCTTAAAGAATAGTTATGAATATTAAATGACGGAACCAGTATTAAGTACCTAGGGAAACAAGAGCAACACTGAAAACCTCAACCTTTTATTGTGCCTAGTCTGGGTCAGGCACTGTTCCGAGTACGTCATCTTTTTTTAACTCCTTTAATTGTCAGGGTAATGGTATTATCCCCATTTTACAATGGATAAACTGAGGTACAGGCTAAGTAACTTGCCCAAAATCACACAGGTGTTAAGTGGCAGAACTAGGACACGTGCCCAGGCAGTCTGACTCAGGGAGGCTTCAGAAGTTCAAAGTGTTTTTTTTTCCCCATCCCCTTAACCCAAAGAGCTGCTGACTTTCACATAGGACTAGCCACTTATGCCTGCACATATTGTGTTGATAAACTGCACATGCATGTTTAGGTGTTTTGCTTATTGCAACGTTGGGTAAGTTATACAACTGGTCTGTCCTCAGTCTCTACACCAGTAAAATGGGGATACAAATAGTTCTTTCATAAGATGATTGGTAGAAACAAATAATCAAGACGAAGGGCTAAGAAGAGTGCTTGACACGTAGGACAGGTTCCACTTAGGAAGTGCTTATAACATCCAAAGTAATGAACGATGTAATATATGAGGAGAATTCTTGGTCTTCTCTGCCTGGCGAGACATACAGATTTTGTGGCTGGCTGAATCCAGTACTTTAAAATGGCTATACTTGTTCTCTGGCAAATATACTGCATTTAAAAATAGATTCATTCAATCAATGAAAAGAAAAACAGGTTCAAAGAATTCTGGTAAAAAATGAGACTGGGCCTAGATAAAATCAGACTGAAGGAAAGAATCTTCATAATAATAATACAACCAGAGTAGTCTTCTTGGAGGTCTCTAGGTTATGAATTATATTCCACCCACTGGATAAATGTTACAGGTAATGGGCAAAGAATCTGTGAAAAATCTATGGCCTGGTTAAAAAAAATATTTGGGTGACACAGGTTAAAGCAATTTTATCCCCAACACTGTTGAATACCAGAAACTTTGTAAGTGAAAAATCACAGCTTTTGTGAGCATGCTGGACATAAAACAAAATACCACATTAAAGGAAAGGCTGGAGCACAGAAAGGGCAAATGAACTCATGTGAGCTCTTTTGCAATCACTGTTACAGCTTTGTATTATTCATCTTGCACCACACTTAAATGTACACTAAAAAGCAGAAAGTGTGCCACACTTATTACTCTAGCTGCTTTTACTTGTTACATAGAGATATGCGAGACAATTTCACTGCTCAGATGGAGGGAAAGAGGAGCTCATCTTATTTCAAGCCCGTAGCTGCTGCCGCAGCCTCAGCACCATGTTCTAATCATTGAATTCATCATGTAAATCTCTAGCAGATGATACCACTGGAAAACAGAAACTGCCTTGGATCCAGAAACGCTTCCAAATTTTTCCTTTAAAGTTCTTATCCGTGAGCCCAGAGACGGGTTGTTTTATTCAATGGGTGAGGCCCACTGGGAAAGCAGCATTCTTCGGGAGACTTCGTGAAGAACTTTCAACCATTCCTTGACTATATAAATGACCTTTATCATTTATTTCACGTTAAAGTGCTAAATATTTCACAACTACTCCAACTTATTTCTGAGTGTCTAAATCTATTCTGAAAAGGATATGCATCACACACATACCTGTGTAGCTTATTAACTACCAATAAGAGCTTAAACAAATTGCAGGGGGTATGAAAGAATAGACTTCTGGAACTGTCCAGAAAGGAAGAAAAGGTACATTTCCTGGTTTTAAGATGAAAGATCTTGTATAAGTTAGAACATTACAGGAGCCTTTTAAATTGTCTTAGGGACAAGACCCTTAGGGCATCATCAGTGGTTCCTGGCGAGTCTTTTTTCTCCCTGTGATGTTAAGGGGAAGTCCCTAAGACTGGCTTTGCTATTAAAATACAGACATCTGCTGCTCTTCTAATTTTGTTCCGTTTAAAAGGCAGTACTCCCAAGAAACTCCTAGATATTGTGAAAACTAAGATCTGGGGGATGGGGACGGAATCTTTGTCTCCCTAACGCATTTATCAGTTCCCTCCCTAGAGCCCCCCTACACCCTCAGCACACACCGGCAGCCCACTCTTCCAAATACTCCCGGGCTGGAAAGATTCATGTTGCAATACCCTCCTCACAATCCTATTCCCGCTCTCATTTTAATTCGCTCCCCCCTCCCCCCCACCTTTTTTTTTTTAACAAAATGTAATTACTTGACTGTCAGCCTGGGCTGCACTCTGGGGCTTTTACTCCTTTCAACACAGCTGCGCTCCCGGCTTTGAAGCTGCTGTCCATGCAGCTTGTCCCAGCCACAGCCTGGCTCTCGGTAATGTAACATTCAAGTGCGTATTTATTTTTAAACTGACCTCTCCTAGACTGTACAGTATGAAGGAGATCCTGCCAAAAAAATATGCTACTTTCTATTTATAAGATGAAACACATGCCTCCCAAAGTCGAGAGGGGGATAGAGCATAATAATTCATAAAGAAAAAATGGCCAGAGTCATTCGTCCTCACATGTCTGATATTTGTCTGTGTCAAGGCACTTAGTTTCAAGGAGAAAGGTCGGGGGAACCCCACAACCCTGTAAACGTTTCAGCTGTCACGGTCAAAAGACAAAAAACAAAAAAAGTCAATAGCCAGATCTGCAGTTGTCGCCCCACTAACAATGCTCTCCGTTAAGAAAGGAGAGGGTACCAGGGGAGCGATGCCACAGCAGAGCTGTGCGATGTACCCATGTGCGGCCCTGGTACCAATCCACGACGCGAGGGGCGCGGTAGCGAAGTGAGGCTTGTTCTCCTATGGAAAATTCTACAAGCGCCCAGAATGGCTCAGTCAGTAGCTCAGAGGGTGCAATGCGGTCGCGCAGCCCCACCCTTAAAAGTGGTGGGCGCAAATGGAGGAGCTCTACGTTCCGGCCTGGCCGCCCGACCCCCTCCTGGCTTGCTTTACGTCCCCTTCGGTCCTTTGAACACGAGATGGGAAAGCGATGCCCTCAGTATCCTGGCTCTCTGCTGGTTTCCCAGCCTAACACCAGCGCACGCCGGAAAGCAGTCGCGGGCGGGACAGACTCACAGACAGGTACAGAGGAAGGAGCCCTGGGCTCTCCCGACTCACCGGCCGCTGCCGAGGATCTCAACCGCTGCCCCGAGCCCCCCGCGGGCACACGCAGAACCAGCCTGCCGGTGCGTGCAGAACCAGCTAGGTCTGCCGGCGCGGCGCCTGCTCACCGCATTCTCCGCTCCGAGACGGCGTGAAGGCTCCCCAGGCCCGCGGCCCGGTCTTCGGGCTGGCCCCGCGCCGCAGCCCCCGGGCCGCGAGAGAAGGTGCGCGCGACTGAGCGCTAGGCGGCCGGACGCGAGGACTGAACCTGCGGAGGGCGGGGCGGCGCGGGGCGGGGCCGGCGGCGCGGGGCCGGACAGGGGCGGGGCGGGGCGGGGCGGAGGGCGCGGGCGGCGGGGCCGACCCTCCCGGACGCGGTACCTGTGCCCTGGCCCGGGGCCAACAGGCGGTCGGGCGCGCGCAGGGGGGTCAACGGCGGACCCTCGGAGGACAATGGGCGCCCATTGTTACCTCCCCAGCGCCATCTCCAAGTAGGCGACTTCCCTCAGAGAAGAACCCGCGTTCGGCTCCCTTAGCACAAAGAAAGGTCGCCACACGCTCGGTTTAAAGAGGGACCCCGAGGTGCTGCCGCCCGGGTGCACGGGGACAATAGGACTCCGCCCGCACCCCGGACTCCCGCAGTAAACCTCGTGCGCCCACCTCTCCTGATCCCAACAGGCAGACCTAGCTGTGCGAGGTTCCGGCGTGGGGGGCGGTGACCCGCAGGGAAGCGAAGCCACCTGAGCGCGCCGCCCCGGCCCGGCCGCAGCTCCCCAGGTCCCTCGCAGCCCGGGCTCGGGTGAGCGCGGAGGGGGAGGGTCGCGTTCTGTCAGTTTCCAGCTCGCTCCCCTCGGAGCTGCAGCCAAAACCCGGAGAGTGGACTTAGCGCCCTGGAGATGCCTGGGCTACCAGCTAAGCAGCCGGACACGCGACGAACTGCAGACGCTACAGGTTCTCCAGTCCAGGGGGAGGCGTGTCTTCTCCCTCGGGGTCTTTTAAAGGGATTTGCCTAAAGTAGGGGCAAGCTGTTGGCGGCTGCCCCAGACTCGCGACGAGGCGCAAGTGGTGCAGCTGCCGGCCCGGGAGCGTAAAATTCCGCCCGGGGCGGCACCTGCGCCCGCCGGTCACCCTGACGCCGCCGCCTGGCGCGCCCCTCCCCTCCGCGGGGGCCTGAGCTCGAACCGGGTTAATGAATGCTAATTTTCTTAATCGGTCTCCGTCTCCTCCTCCTCTGAGAGTCATCGGCCTGTGGAAGGAGTAGGCGACAGGAAAGGGCAGTGTTTTCCGGCTGGGAGGTCCCAGCCCGCAGGATCAGCCTGGGGAAGGGGCTGGGACCCTGGGGAGTCAGACGCTCGGGGTCTGGCCTATGCCCCGAGACTCCCAGGTTGGATGGAAATCCTGGCACAACGCGAAGAACCTCCCAGGCACCTTGACTTTGCCGAGAGATACCAACTTCAGGTCATCACCGCAGTGCCCTGGGTCTATCTGAAACCTTAGAGGGTGCACCTTAAGCCGACGTTGTAAAACCAGGCTGACGTTAAGGTGAAGTGAAAAGGAAACGGACACAACTGTTCTGGAAGCAAAATACTTGGGTGGAGAGTTAAAAGCCTCAAAGAAAAATAATAGTTGGCAGGTCAAATGGCCATGAGGTTAGAAGTCAAATACGAAACTCGGCTGAAGTGATGCTAGAAGTTTGACAAGCAAAACAGTCCGTGAAGATAAGAGACCCAGAATTGTTTCCCTTCTTCAAAAGACAACTGGTCAAAAGTTTCCTTTGGCAGATACCTGGATTCTACCTTAGATTCCTGAGCATTTTACTTGGGGCTCATATTTCAAAATATATGTTCCATTTGGCACTAATGTATATATTTTATATATTAATTTATTGGAAAATTTTTAATGTTTCTGGCCTACTTAGAAAATGGTTTTTAAAATAAATATTTATGCATAGTTTTCATTACATATAGTATTTTATAAGTCCAAATAATGTGTGTGTATATATTTATAAAATACCACATGAAAAATTCCTTTTGAACACATAAAGACATTCCTTACACGTCTTATATGTAACTTTTTTTCACGTGATCTATTGTTAGCTGCTGTTAAAAGCACTTTATTTCCACATGGCCCAATAAATAACTTCTTTTATAGTTTGTGCAAATATAGGGTGGCAGGTTGTTTGAGGTGGCAGTTTTATTCCAAAACCCTAATTTTACTTTTCTACATTATTCCTTGCCTTTCTGAGGTTTTCTCTCCCTCTGCAGTTTTGAAATGAGACTTCACTGCTGGGCTCTAAACAGTTATCTAGGATCTGCTCATTCAAGGGCCTGGTGGTTTGATTTATCCTGGTTCCTTTGATGCCCTATGTTATTTCTTCTCTCTCTCTCTTTTTGACATTGAGCCTTACTCTGTCGGCCAGGCTGGAGTGCAGTGGCACGATCTGGGCTCAGCGAAACCTCTGCCGCCTGGGTTCAAGCAATTCTCTTGCCTCAGCCTCCTGAGTAGCGCCTGCCACCCCACCTGGCTAATTTTTGTATTTTTTTAGTAGAGACGGGCTTCCGCCATCTTGGCCAGCCTGGTCTTGAACTCATGGCCTCGTGATCCACCTGCCTCGGCCTCCCAAAGTGCTGGATTACAGGTGTGAGCCACTGTGCCTGGCTTCTTTCTTTCTTTTCAGGGTGTCCAACTCCTGGCCTCAAGTGATCCTTCTGTCTCAGCCTCCTGAAGTGCTGGGATTACAGGCATGAGCCACCACGCCCTGTGCCTTATGTTATTTCTTTGTGTTGAACATCTTCAGTGAGTAAACCATGCCCTCATATAGTGAATTGTTCTTTCAAATGAGTTCATTTCCTGTGCTAACTACCATCGCTTGTAGAGTTGATGGATATAGGTTTCAATATGTTATGGGACTCTATTACTGGAAGAGAGGAAAAAGCTGCACTTCAGGAAGATTTAAGGGTTTTGAGATTCTGCTGTGCATTTTGGAAAGGTTTAGCCTTAAACATTTGGTGGTAACCTTAGAAGCCTAGTTGACACTAATATCTGTAGAACACCTGTCAGGCCCAACAGTGGGCTGTTTTTCTATTAGTCCCTACTTGGGAGAAAAGCCAAGTAGTATTGGCAGTGACCTTGCTGTCCAGAAACCTGTGATCTACCTAAGTGCAGAGAGCACCTTGCCAGTGTACACAAGCATGTGCTGACCACATTCTAGTTTCTTGCTACAAAGTACAGTCCCAGGACCAGCAGCATCAAGCCTCACTCCAGGGCTATCGAATTGGAATCTTCAGTCTAATGAAACGTGGATAGTTTGCGTGCACATTTAATGTTTCAAAAAGGACTGGCCATGAGTGCTTGGTGGTCCTGCACCTTTTAAAGTTACAAACTGATTTGAAAATCTCATGGCATTCATGAACACCCTTGGAAAAACATACAGAATGATCCACAAAATTTTTTTTGTATACAATTTCAGAGTTCCTGTAAAGATCTATCTATGGCAAGGAAGTCCTAGGTTAAGACCCTCTCAGTCACAAAGAAGACTGACTCAATGTCAGCTGGAGGAGTTAACAGAGGATTCTTATAGGGAACAGAGCTTAAATTAAACCTGGGGGAGTTTGATAGGAAGAGGAGTAAGGAAGAGCATTTCAAGCTGTTGAAATGTAAAAGCCAATGGTCCTGAGAGGGGAAACAGAGAATGTCCATTTTTGTGTGTGTTCATGTGAAACTCAATGAGGAGACTGTAGTTTGATAGCAGGCTTTCCTTGCAATTCTCATAGCTTGAACATCCAGAAAATGACATGGGGCTTTCACGTAAGATCCCATTTTGTTCCACTTTGCTCAACTCTCACCCTGTCCAAGCCACATTGGCCTTCAGGCTATTCCAGGGACTCCCAACAACAAAGCCTGGCCCACTCTGTCTGCCTGGGGCATTTCCCCAAATCAGTAAAAGGCTCATTAAGATCTTTATTCAAATGAGACGTCAAGGGAGAGGTTTTTCTCTAAAAAAGTAGTCCCTCCCACATTCCCTTTCCCTAAACGAAACAGGAAGAACAATTGCTTCACTACCTGCCATTATATTTATTTATAAATTCATTTATGGTCTATTTCCTTTAACATATGAACTTTATTTGCTGCTGTATCTCCTGTACGTAGAACAGGGCCTGGCATACAGTAGGTACTCAATAAGTGTTTATTGAATAAATGACCTTTTAACTATAACCAGTAATGAGTATAAAAGTCATGTTTACAAACTCTATAGCTGCAGAAATCGTAATATATCAAACATTCTTGGAATATACCACACGTTTGCTGAGACTGAATTTTCAACCACTTCTCTTTAGTCTAATAGAACAAGAAATACTAAACACATGGAACATTTTAACTTTGAAAATTCAAACATTTTAAAGTAAGGCTTACAAAAAATGTCTGTATGGTCCATGTATAATGCATAACTATTTTTCTTCTGGCAAAGCTGAAACACACTCGTGTACTTAGCTGGGGTTTTCCTCCAAAATCCAGGCTGAATTCTTGTGTGTATGGTCTCGATTATCCCTCTAAGTTAGATTTAAGGAAAACGTAGGAGAAGCTGGAAGGTTAGAACATTTTGAATGAGAATTTCCTTAAAGCTTGAGTATTCCCCTCCTTGCTACCCAATTAAAATTTCACCAGTCCTGGAAATATGTCAGCCTGTGCTAATGAACTTGATTGACTAATTGCCAAGGCTAAGGAATTTTCTAACCAGTGATTTCCTTGTAAATAAAGAAATTTAGATCACATCTTGGTTGGAAGACTTCAGCTTTCCCTAATTGAATGCAGCAGGAAATGGTATACTATGAGATATAGTATGAGAGGCTATATTTGCATGGGGACTACAGGCCTAAGATACAGTTCTAAGCAGGTTACACAGTTACTCACCATAATCACTGAATACGATTTTGGCATTTGTATTGGCTCCTGAACTTGGGACAGCACCAATTTAATTTGTGCATAAGACCTGCAAATATAGATGCATACTTGATTCTGATTGTTAATGCAAACCAGTGACTAATAAATAGCATTACTGTATATTTATATAGTCTTCTATGCTCCTAAAAACACTTTCTCATTTCATCCTCATTTTAGGTCGTTTTGTTCATGCTGGGTAGGTAAGGCATTTATGCCTTACCTTACACTTATTTCCAGAAGGGATTTGAGGCAACTTAGAAGGCTTTTGTATATAATGAGTCATTCCTTTTTTCCAGCTTTACTGAGGTATAATTGATTGAGTCATGCCTATTGTACTCTTCGTTATGTGCTCTTTTCCCACATACCTGTATGTCTCCTTCCTTATCTTTCTTCCCATGTTGCTTAAATCTGAACTCCCAGATGCCTGCCTTCCAAGACATCTTTTTTTTTTTTTTTTTTGAGACAGAGTCTTGCTCTGTTGCCAGGCGCCAGGCTGTAGTACAGTGGCACGATCTTGGCTTACTGCAACCTCCGTCTCCTGGGTTCAAGCAATTCTCCTGCCTCGGCCTCCCAAGTAGCTGGGACTATAGGCGCATGCCACCATGCCCAGCTAATTTTTGTATTTTAGTAGAGATGGGGTTTCACCAGGTTGGCCAGAGTGGTCTCGATCTCTTGACCTCGTGATCTGTCCGCCTCAGCCTCCCAAAGTGCTGGGATTACAGGTGTGAGCCACTGCGCCCGGCAAGACATCTTATATAAAGTATCAACCATGGCCTTCTTCATCCCATTACCCTCTTTATTTTTCTTCATGGTACTTAACACCGGACATGTTGATTGTATATTTATTTGTTTATTGCCTCTCCGCTCCCCATACCACCAGAATATAAACTCCACAAGGGCAGAAATATTACCTATTTTATTCATGGCTGTATCCCAACCCCTTGGTCAGTGCTTGGCACATAATAGGGATTTAATAAGTATTTGTTGAATGAATAAATGAATGAAGCCACCGTGCTTAGTGCAGGCACCTGGCATGTGATAAATATTTGTTGAATTAAACAAAGCTTTAATCAATGAGCTAGCGAAAGGTCTGTGATTCATTCAAGGTTATGCCGATAGTAATAACTTGCTTTATCAAGATTCAAATCCCCACTAATTCTTTCTCCGCGCCTTCTTCATTTGTGTGCCTGGTAGACTGTTGTAATGTCAGAGTTTCTTTGTTCATCCTTTTTGGTACCTGACAAAAATTGAACATTATAAAGCTTTGATAGTGATTATAAATTGAGCAAGAAAAATGATTATTTCAATTAATGCTCTGGATTAGTGAGAAACAATAAAAGAGAGAGGTCTGCAATGATACTCCCCTCTCTCACTTCTCCTGCTTCCCTGCATGCATTCA